TTCAGCCAGTACCACGTACACACACATGAAGATATTTTCTTCCTTTCTATCTTTTCCTGTGTGGTTTCAAAACTTACTGGTTACCGCCAATAGCCATCAAGTGTATCTCCTATCCAAGGAACTAGGACCAATGAATCATGGAGACAAATGATAAATCAACAACTCAATTAGTCTCCACAAATCCCAGTTAAACAGGGTCCAGACAGAGATTGAGCTACCTGGGCAAGAATCAACCTCCTACTTATTTTTAAGGCCGTGTGTAAACAAATGAAGGGCGCCTAACCAAGGGCAGAACCATTTAACTGTTTTATAGCATGATCGTTACATGAGGCATGTCTTTCATAAATTAATAGTATTCCACAATTCTAAAACGATTTCTGGCAATTAATGCTTTCCAAGAACAACATAAGACCAAAGAAAAAATAAGAAATTAATTTCCCTTTTCTTAGAGGGCAAAAAGATTCATACACAAATCAAAATACAGAGGCACAATAGCAATGTAAACATACATGTGTCTACTTCCAACAAGGGTTTCAACCCACAATTTGAGCAAGATCAAACCTATACAAGGCGGCAGGCTATCCAATCCAATCACTGCAGATATATAATCCATTCAGACTTACAACCAAATAGCAGAATTCAAGGATTGCCTATCGAGAAAACTTTCGGAGTTCCGATTTAGCTATGTATTTTCTTCAGTTCTTAATACTCAGGCCTGCAGTCATCTTTGACTTTGAGCTTCCAACTGCTCCCTGGTCAGCTGATTTTCCACTCAAATGCTGAAAAGAGTAAGAGCCACTTTTTCTCAACTTACCTGGAAATTCTTTGCCCAAATTACCTTTCAAAGAAAGATTTTTCTTTATGCGACTTCTGTTAAGCAACAGCATGCTATTGCGCGGGGGAGCATGCAAAGCCCCTTCAACACAATCTCCTACCTGCGTACATCCCCAAGGCCTGGATGGCCCGTCGTCAGAAATTGGTCTGAGCCGTGGAAAACCAGTACGCAGTCTTGAGAAGCCTTGCTGCTCAGGGAGATTTTCCTCCTCAAATCTGGCACATAATGGGCAGGGAGGGTCATTTTTACGTGTCTTGGGTGTTGTTTGCTCCAAGCACTCTGCATGGAAGACATGACAACAAGAAAGCACCCCTGTGACTGGCATATCTCCACTTCTTACTATCCTACGAGAACTCCAAGGTGATCTCTGTGAAAGAAACCTTTCACACAACCCACATCTAAAACCATCAGACATATTATTACATGGTCGACCAGAAATTTCTGCCTCAAATGACTCAGAAACATCTGCAAAATCAATGCTGCTACTCGCACTGCTCCAGCGGTGGCCATCTCTTTGAGGAGTGGCAGCATCAAATTCCGTAAATCCAGCTAATGTAAGGTCAGAAGCCTCTCTTGGGGGAGTTTGTGCAGGAAAAGATAAGGGATGAATAGGTTTGGACATGAATGAACGGCGGCTCGGTAAAGTATGATGAGAAGATAGGCATGCCTTGACTGCAGGTTCAGACTCACTACTGTCTGAACGGGATGACGAGGATCCCCCGGTGTCTTGAATTTCTGAGGTTCCCTGCAAGATACCATCAAAGGAAAAGCAAAATAAATTTATTTGATTAAATAAACTAGGAAATTTGAATTTGAAAGTTAAATTCTCACACAATACCTCCATGGTAGGTCTAAAGAATGAATGCCCAAAAGCTGGACCTAGCAAGTAAGAAGGAGTTACGTTAAGTTAATGAAAATGACTTACAACATGAATATTAGAAGGATTGATGACAATCTTGAGATTACTAAATTTCCTTAATAAGTATAAATTTTGAATTCCCTACTTATAGGCTGAAAGGGTCTGATATTGATCAATCGTGGTAATTGTTTAAGCATGTAAGAATAAATGGCATAGGTAAGAACTCAATCAAGAAAACACCTCAAACGACATAATAATACAACCAAATCATTCAAAATGAAAACAATGAGTATCCCCGTGGATACTGTCAACTGAACTCATGATTCCAGATCAGATTTAGCAAGCTTCTAACACTCTTTTTCACTCTGACCCTACACTGCCAACAATAAGAAAGAGATGCTCCTTAAGTTGCGTAGTATAAGTAGATTAAGCATGACAATGGTTATTATGATTGAAGGGTTTTTCTTTTTCATGAATCTAATTAAGATGTAATTAGAGCATAAAGCCAGAGTTATTGAACAACAGAGTAATTTGTGAAAATCAGTAATCATGTAACATAGAGAAATGAAGATAGAGCAAGCACATATACACAGGGTTGTTAGTAAAAACCAACTATCAAATCACCTAAACCAGATGGTCATCTTTTTGTGCAGAGCAAAAATATACACAAATACAGTAATCATGTAACATAGAGAAATGAAGATAGAGCATGCGCATATACACAGGGTTGTTAGTAAGAACCAACTATCAAGTCACCTAACCCAGATGGTCATCTTTTTGTGCAAAGCAAAAGTATACACAAATACACAAGTGTGTACACACACACAGAGATGTAAGAAAGAAGGCTACAAGATGTGAGAACTTTTTATGAGAGACTGCAATGTCTAATTATTTCAAACAATGACCAACACATACCATCAAATTGTGCAGTACCAAACAACACAAGCACATGTGTGTATCTCAAAATATAAACAATAAATTAAAATCATGCAAGATCATTTGCACAAATTCATTTGTACTTGGTAGATTATTAACAGACATAAAATAATATTATAGCTCTGTTCAATCCAAATGAACCAAAAAAATTTAATCCACCAAATTGTTTAATCTTTGAAGTTACCCGCATAGCAATTGCACTTAGCACATTACTTCTTCATATGCTTTTTCTGACACCAGATTTTGAAGCCAACAATTAGAAATTCATTCCAAAAGCAATCTAATTTATCAGACATCAACATGTGTATGCACGCACAGATAAAACTGAAATAGAGATGCATTATCAATTGTATTACCTCTCCTTTTTGCAGTTTCATAATCATCTATACTGATTTCCTGTATTGCTGGAGGAGTCCACTGAGGACCTTGAGAAAGGTCAGATGAACTACTTAAAAACGGCCCAGCACCATCAGATGCAGAGTAGTGATGATTATAGAGATTGTTGCCTCTTACCCAGCCCCTACTTCCTTTACTGTTTGATGAAGTAGAAGACCCATGTTGCTGAATACCATCATGCAAACCATACTGCAGTTCTTCAGGTTGGAATCGGAAATCCCATCTCGATGGGGGTGGTGAGAAGCTCGTATTAGTTCGCCAGCAAGGCTCCTCTGGACCCACAGACCAGTCCCTACTGGTCGTATGTGATTCATGTGGCCTTGCAGCCACACAACACAGGGACCCCGTTTTAGCTATTTTTTATAAGACACAAAAAGATTGATTCTATCTGCTATCAATCTTCCTAAAGCTCAGCTCGCTAATTTATATCACTTACATGAAACAAGTTACATTCACTTATGTCAAGCACCACTTATCAATGGTACAACATATAAATAGTACAATGAATCCTACAACACCTAAAAGTATTAAGTGCTGCAGTCAGGGTGCGAAGACCCACACTTCAAGAAAATTGGACAGTGCAGTAGAACTTCAAACATAAAACAGGCAAACACTTATAAACAGAGGATCAAAATTTCCTCATCAGCATTAACAATACATATTCAACGTATGTTGCTTACAACTCCAGATTTCTTCAGCAAATGACAAATATTTCAGAATTCTTCAGTGGTCATAGTGGCAACCCTAGCAAGAAAGTTCGAAAAACTTTAGATAAGGCAATGTTCAACACGAGTACTCTCAACTCCAAATGTTAAACAAAATAAAACTCCAGAACACAAATACTCAACAAGATACTAATCCATCATCATTCAAATCAACAATATGAAAGCCGATAAATTATATAAATTCCACAAAGCCAGTGACTTTAACTTCAAGTGGGTTCTTAAAACGACCCAAGTTAACTTAAACTTCAAGACTTGCAGAGTGTGCATTTTTCATATTTTTGTTCAGCATAAGGCCAGGCATCTAGTTCAACCTTATAGAGCGCATACAAATTTAGAAAGTTAACAGAGACACATAATGAGCAGAACGTGGTCTTGGAAACACCAATAGTTCATCAAACAGTACAGTGAGACAACCAAAGCAGAAAGAAAGCAAAATTTGAGAACTGAACATCAGTCAAAAACCCTAGAAATAGAAAGCCCAAATTAGATAAAAATAAATAACTGGTCTTTTTAAAACCCAGAAATGTAAATCGAGAAAGAAAGCTTACAATTAGACAATGACGAAGCACGAGAAGAAACTGTGAGCTAGGCCTAGGCGACTGGTTGTCGAGTGAGTAAGAAATGAAAACCCTAATATATCGGGGAGAAAAAGGAGGAGCCTATTTAGGAACCTTTTTGCATTAAGATCCTCCCTTTTTTGCATAATCCCATCCAATTCCCTGTTTCTTCTAGCTTAATTAATTACCTTCTTTTTTGTGCCGTATATTATTTTCTTCATTATTTTCTTTTTGCTGGAGTTGTGCAGTTTAATTAATATTTTTCAGTAGGTGGCACTGGCAGACTGGTTTTTTTGTTGTCATTATTTGCATGTCATTATTTCTTCTCCCCTTTTTGTCACCAATTTTGTTTGACTTTTTATTATTATTATTATTTCTTCACATTTATTTAATTAATTGTTCATAGCAATAATCATTTTGTAGAAGATTGCGTGAGCTAATGAAATTATATTTTAAATGACATGCATTTATATACGTATATTTCCGGGACCAACCTGAGCAGGATAATATAATTATATATCTTAGATTGAATTACATATTGCCAAGCCTGATGATTTTCTGAACAATAGAATTTGTTTTATTCTAGTATGATTTTTTTTATTTAAAGGATTTATTTATTTATTTATCTTGTGAGGAATTGAGCCACATAGGCTCACTATTGCTTGCTTAAAAAGGCCCAAGCTCAAGCCCAATAATGGCCAACCAAAACTACAAATTTATTCCAATAATAACAAAACACAATCCAAGTTTTAGACTGCTCCTCCAAATAGCAAACCATCTATGGCCTTCTGTTATTATTACTTACAAGCTATTCCAAAGAGTTGAGGGTTTATGATAGAGGCACTGGACAAGGAGGTCATGCTAAGCTTAACATCTGAGAACCCAGACTTGGATATGCTCCTTCCTGTTTCCCTGGTGAGATGACACCCATCAGCTAGGGTTTGTTGCAGAGGATCAAGAACACTCTGTATAAATCTGAGGATTGTTCCATCTGCACCACCATTCCATACCAGTTTCTTGCTTTAGAAATTGAAAACCATATATAACACCTTCTTCCCCTCAATTTCCTCAATGAATTAGAAATTGGGTTCAGCTCACTAACTACCTTTTGCAGCCACATGCTCCACAAACAGGTAAACTCCACCTGGTCTCAGCACTCTCTTTATCTCTGAATATAACACCAAAAATGAGCAATAAGCAACAACCCACAAGTCAGGAATTTTATGCAAAACTATTACCTTCCAGAGTCTTATCAACATCTTTAACAGAACACAAAACAAGGGTTCCAACAACTGCATCAACAGAAGCATCATCTAATGGTATAGCCTCCCCAACCTGGTTAAGATTAAGCATTTCCAATATATCACAAACAAAAAGCAAATTTCACAAAGAGGGGGCAAATACTAGAAACCGAAATTCAATAAGTTGCAGGTCAAGAAAACTTGCATCATAAGAAATTATACATTGAATGTTGTAAATTCAAGCATCATAAATTAATAACCAGTTTCACATACTGCTTGTACAAACTCAAAATTTGAAAGGGGCAGACCGGCAGCCACGGCGGCAGCCCGAGCATACTTTTCCATCTTTATATTCGGATCCACACCAAAAACCCGGACACCACTATCAGCAGCATAGTATCTAAGGTTAGGACCAGTCCCTATACCAATTTCCAACACTTGCTGAGCTTTTCCCTTCAGTTCAGCGAACAGCTCTGCCTTGTAACCTGCAATCTTACCCATAAAATGAAGTCAATAAGCTCATTGAGAAAGAAACAATTACTAATTAACAACTAATCTCAAAACTTAGTTAAATGGGAACTTTTAGTATTTACTAATTAACCACTAACCTCGTCTTCATAAGATTGCATGGAGGTGTTCAAGACTGATGCATACAACTCTTCATACCAGTCTGGTCTTGGAGGATGAACTTTTTCTAACATGGCCTAAGCATGCATCACACAATTTTACCAAAAAAAACCACCACATTTTCTGTGAAGTGTCTAAAGACCAGTACGTACCGTATAATTATCAGAAGGCAATTTGGAAGCGATGGAGGTGGAGGGGCAAATTGGGAATAACGATGTGGCTACTGCTGCTTCAACGAAGCGCCTTCTTCCGCACGAACATACGCCGCTGAAACAGAACGAGTCCGGCGCGAGTGACCTGGCGGTTGAAGCATCTGAGTTGACTCGGGTTGGAGAAGAATCGGAACGCGATGTAATTAGGCCACGTGGCGCGATGTTGGATGAGAAGGGAATGGTGTGAAGGATCATCTCTTCAGTGGCCGGTGGTGTGTGTTTTCTTCAGTGGACGGTGCCAAGATATGGAATTATTATGTTTTTCATGGCCAACGACGGCAAAAACTCTGTCGTTTTATCTTGATGATACTTCTTGTAAATAAAACCTTTTTCTAAAATTCAGCCTTCAGTACATATTCATGGAGCTCTCTCTCAATATGAGCAATCCCACATAAGAAATTGAAGTAAATGAAATGTCATATCTTCATCCAGTGTGTACATGATTCATGTTACATGTTACAACCAGTACAAAAATTTGGCAAGTTTATCTTTATTTGCTCTGGCACCTTAAACAAGGTGAGATCTGACTCTCAGCTTCAACGTTCAGAACATGCAGCAGGCAGTAGCTACTCGTGGTGGTGGCTCTGATCCTCATCCGCCGTGTTGTTACTGCTGCCACCATCTACTTGGTCCTCCAAAGAAGTGTTGTCATTGCCGCCATCTAATGTAGGAAAGAGATAAAGGAGTTCAAGTGGTGAACATGGTTTTCTAACATGTACAAGAAGTTTATTGGTGATGTTGTTGGAAATTGGTTATTGATTGCTCATACCGTCGCCGTCGCCTGCACGGGAATAAGATGAGCGCCTCGATCGCGCTTGCTGTTGTGGTGTGGGCTGATGACAACAACAGACAAATATAAGAGATAAAAACCATGTACTGATGTATAGCAAAGGATAACAGGAGAAGAAAAGAATTCCTATCTATGTTACAGTTTAAGTATTTGCGCATGGTAATGGCTGATCTTTCTACCCCTAACAACTTCTAGCCAGCTTGAGGTAAGAAAATCATGGTGTTATCATCAAACACACCTGCAGCTTTGGGCGGAGTGCTTCAAGTGGCCCTTTTGGCTTTGCTCCTTGCTGTTGAAGAAGTTAAAAAGAACCAAAGATAGGCAAAGAGATTAGGCTTCAAACCTTCAGAGTTATAGCAACTACAATCTAAGCAAATCCAAATGAGTACCTTTCCCAATGCCCAATCAGCAGAATCAAAATAAGCACGCTCATGGTCCTGACAGAAAATTCAAATTGCTTGTTGGTGGCTTTATTTATCTCAATAAAGATAGAACTAGATCAGAAACTTCAGAAAGGGGAGCTAGGGGGGAAAGAGAGAGAACAAGGCCAACAATTACCTTGGATATCAGTGGAGGTTTCCTTGGTAATATGCCTCCATACTTTTTCTTAATTGTTGCCTCCTGAAGAAGACAAAATTGTAGACAATGATCCTACTGCATAACTTCAACTATTGACCTAATGAAGCAAGCTGATGATATATAAAGAAATTTTGATGCAAAAAGATCATTTCAATGAGAAAGACAGTTTGCATTAACAGATGACAGGGCAACAGGCAAGAAATTTCAAAAAGTTTAGAACAATTTGCAGAGCAGAGTTGTACCTCCTGCTGGGGTGAAGGCATGGGATTTTCATGATTTTCATTTGAAGCTTTTAGGTCTTCCTCGGCATTGTCACCAGCACCTTGATCCTTAGGAGCACTATCAGCAAGCTCTGGCTCCTTCACCTCCTCCGTGTTTGTATCTGACATATTTTGCTCTGGGCACAGGTGACAACTACAGAAACAAAAGAATCCTTCTACTCAATCAAAAACAAATGTAATCAAATCCAGTCCTATCATTGCAATGTCCAAATAAGTGAGCAAGTTCCTTCAGTCTTTAAAATCTCATAACAATTACTTTTAGAAAAGATAAGCCTATTAGTTGGTGCAACTCCAATATATCAAATCATAGGCATGCATACAAATGTCTGTAAATTGGCCCAAATATAACCCTGTAAACAAAAATAAATATGATTATGTTGATAAATGTTTCATGCCACAAAAACGCATTGAAGCAACCACCCTAATTCTATAAAACTAGACTGGGTTCGTCTTGTCATATTTGATTATCTCATTACAATTTTTTTTTCCTCAAAGGCTAGTCAAAACTATGCCTTATTTTTTTGTCTATTCTATTCTGGTTGAACATCAAGACTATTTTATACAAAAGGAGGTAGCCCTTCAACAAGGCCTCCCAACTCCCTAGCCCGAACCCAACATCGAGGATCAAGATACAGGAAATATGCCTGTTCATTAACTTATGACCCGACTGAGGATATAGAAAGGATCAGCATCTTGAAGATGATATAGAAAATGGAAAAAGAAAGTCAACTTTTCGAGCGAGAAGAAGCAAAACAATTTGAAGCAAATCGTCCCGCACTTTCCATATGCACCATAAAAAAAAATTAAAGAAAGATGATGGCATTAGAAAACAACTAGAATTTAAGTTCATATACATGCAGGCCTTTACAATCATTTCCCACTTCTTCACAAAACTTTTCAGTTTGCGGAAAAGCACAACTAAAAACACGTCTCACTTGTAAATATCAAGAATCACACTGTACAGACAAGTTGGATCAAGAACTTTAGAAGAACCCAGAAACAAGCATGACCCAGATGAGAGATACCAGTGACTTGTAACTAGGCAGCTGAGTTCTTTGATTTACAACTTACAACACAAATTTAATAGCTTTGATCGATGAATATCTATCAAGATTGTTCAAGTAGGCAAGACTAATAGAACTGAAAGTGAAGGTGTGGACCGTTTACCTGATCAAAGATCCGATAGGGAGAAAAAAAAAGCCGAAATGGGGTGATCCGATTGCGAAGTAGAGGCTATCAGAAGAACGATGCCTAGAGATTACGCTACACGACGCACATTCTCTTGAGGGTGGTAGGAGTAAGTCTTGGGCTGTGTAAGACTTGAGTTGAGGCCTTGTTGAAACCGTACGGAAATTGACTGGGTTCAATTCGATTTCCTTTGGGCCTTATTTTCATAAAGATGGCCATATTTGCTATTTTATTCATACGCAACAAATATTTCTAAATACATAGATATTTTCTTGGTCCAATACTTACTTAATTTTTTTGAATTTGAGATATCGTTCAATTTTTATTTTTTTAATACAAGTGATAATTTAAACTATAAGAAGGTGGAGTTTTCTCATATACACTATCAAATGTGTCAATGGGGGTTCGAACATTCGACCGTTGATATGGAAGTCAAAGTATTTTTTCATTGAGCTGGACCGCATTAGTAAAATAACGTTGAATATTACAAATAAAAGAATAGAAATATTATTAGATCAGGTTTAATTTGTCAAATTTCTAGTACACACGAAAAAGAACGTGTTAAAATATTTTATTTTTTTTATATAAATGATATTAGGGAGGAAGGATTTGAATATAAAATCTCGAGTGAAAGTTAACTGCTCTTAACCACTTAAATACAAGTCCGTTGCAAATGTGTTAAAACTTTGTAAAGTGAGAGGCAACAAAAAGGAGGCAGAATAAAAAGGTATGAATGAGTCCAACAAAGTAAAAATAAAAATTCTCTGCTTCATCAAGACCAAAGTTGATAAAGAAAAGGGATTATAATTACCAGCTAGCCCATGTCACCCCCCATAACCATTTTCGTCAGTCTGGATATTGCCCCATATTCTATTACATCACAATGGCTCTCAGCAAAAGATACAGCAACATGTGCAAAAGATTTTGCATTGCAATGATTTATAGCTAGCAATATCAAGCATTGCATCACAGAGAAGAAAAACAAGTAGCAAGTAGTGATGTAGCACGCAAATTTATTGCTTCCCAATCTTCTATTGCATTATGCAGACATGATTTTGGCAAGTGATAAGATTAAGACCGTAGCTAAAGTGGATATGAACCAAATCATATTTTGATTTGCTGTATGGAGTTTCAAGGCAAAAATTGGTAGCCTATTCTCTTCTTTTTCTTGTAAAATCCTTGCTGCCCACGTCTCTGCATTAATTGGTTCAACTCAACAATCCAAATCCACTGATATATAGCTGAAACAAGTTTCATATTCATACTGGCCCATGGATCATTTCCTCTTCCTTGTAATGAGCCAAACTCCAATGCGGTTGGTTCTTCTTTTTCTCCCCCTCCTTCCAAATTCCAACCCAACCATTCCCACAGAACACTGCGAGTTCTAAAACCCTGTTGAAATTGGATTATGAATCATCTCAGGTCTTGCATGTAAGTATGAGATAATATATATGTGCTGCAGCCAAGGATGACTTGCCGGCGGCTACTACTTCTCTTGTTTATAGGTACATAAAATTTTCATCAAATGTGACAACTTTGTTTCTACCCATGCTCTGCAATTTTAGCAAGCAAGAGAAACTAGGAGCCTTCTGTTATGCACACTGAAATTAGCAAGAAGAATGAAAACAGTAATTTAATTTGTTTTGTGATTGAATGAGATCCAAAAGTTTATGTGTGTGTAGTAGAGATAATCGGCAAGTTGTCCATGGCTACATGTCTATCTCATGTTTACATGTTAGATCAATGATGATAATGATAATGGAGAGGGAAGAAGCCCAGATTGAATGATGTATGTGGGAACCGAATTAAATCACCCTAGGTCAAATAATTCCTTCCATTTGGGGATTATTTGACCTAATTGGGAGTTACTCAATTTAATTGGGAGTTACCCAATTAAATTAGCAATTATCTAATTAAAATGGGGATTGATTTGATTCCTACCCTAATTAGGGATTTGATTTAAATCAGATAAATCAAATCCCTAATTAATCAAATCTCGCCTAATCGGGGAGGAATAATTCCTTTCCATC